AGCTTAAAATATTCAGTACACCGAGGTGCCATATTCTGGGGTAACACCTAAACCCCATCATTCCTCAATCTGAAACTTTCCCCAAGAAGTTTGACTGTCTAAACACTTAGCTGATAAATTGTCCCATGTCCCGCTGAACCGGTCTCTCAGTCCTGGGAATAAGTCAGCCCTAAACAGTTGTGCCTCATTTCAGCAGGTGGTGATATGGGCAGTAGGGCACCGAGGCACCCACCTAAGTTAGGCCTCTATGTGGTGTTAGTAATTAGGCATTTAACAAGGTACATTTCAATGGGAATAAAAGAAAGGTTACTGGTTAGAACAAATTATAAACTCAGTTTTTTAGTCCAGAGGGCAAGAAGATTCCAGATGTTGGGTTTAAGGCATCTTTGGGTGGTCAGGACAGGCAGTAACAGTCCAGTGAACTTCCTGGCTTGCAGTATGAATATCTCTGGTGACAGCAGTAGGTTTTCTGGCAAACTTTCTGAGTGGCCCAAACTACAGTAGGCAGGGAGAGTACCCACATGTCATCTGTGATGGTAAAGTTAATGTCACTCCAGCTTCAGTCTGCAGGGCTTTCGGAGATGAGCAGTTCTAGTCTTTAGTGATGCCAAGTCAGAGAGGTGGGAAACAACTGGAAATCACAATTATTGATAACCTGTACAAATGGCAGGATCCAGTTTATAAAGAGATGAAAATAGCTCAAAGATAATAAACATTCACAAAGGTGGATTATAGTTTTGCATTGAAATAGATTTTTTTTTCTCTACAGTCAGCTCTGTTTCTATCAAAGATAATCAAAGATGATATCTCTATTTGCAGAAATAAGTCTGATCTCATTAAAATTGGCCTGATTAGTTACAGGGCAGCAAGAAGAATGATTGATCATATAAACTCTTTTTAAGTCTGCTTTTCAAGGGACCTCTGGGAAATCTGAATGTTGGTTCAAAGTCAAAAAGATTTTATTTAGAATTTGATTTTTGGGAAGTTTGTCAAAATATCGTAAGACATAACACTTGATTAAATAAGATACTGGTCATCTATTTAACCAAAGTGACAGTAAAAGATTTTAAAGGCTAATATAGAAGGTTACATAGCTGTGAACAAAACCCATTCAATATTAAGAAGACTGGTTTTCCTTTAATCAAATGACCCAATAAAGGCAACACAAAGCTCAGGAAGTTATTTTGATAAAACACAGAATCTTCGTTTCCTAGGTGAATTACTTGAAAGGTAACAGGTTACTTGACAACCTGAACACCCTGGCAGGTGAAAACCAACCCAAGCTTTCAGGACACGAACAAACCCACAGGAAAGCAACAGCTGTCCCTGGGATGGGGGATCGGTCGATAACCAATGGGTACTCAAAACCAAATTCGTAAGAGTCACAATCCAAACAACTAACTCTTGAAAATATTTTTTTTTCCTGCTAATCTGAATTTGAAAAGGAAGGGGCAAAGAGAAATTTTTATCTCCTTCTCTCAACTAAGCAAGACAGAGATTCACGAAAGTGGCCCGGTGAGAACTCTTACCTCCGCCAGTTTTCGTCAGCTGTCCCAGACCTCAGCTGCAGTCTCCAGGGAGAGTGCAGTATCCCAGCCTTTTACTGTCCCGTCCTCCCTGCCAGCAACTACAGGGGAGGAAAATACATATTTATTTTTTCCCTCTACCCTAGTTTACTAACTGGAGCTTTCTAACAGAAGGTAGATTTATAAGAGAAAAGCATTCAACTTTATTTCTTCTAAGTTTTATGTGACGTAGAAGCCTTCATAGGGAAATGAGCAGCTGAAGAAGTAGTTGAACCTGGACATTGCTACACTAGTTTGATGAGGAGTGGAAAGTCAAGGGAAGATGAGAGGACAAAGAAGTCTGAGCTAAGGGTAGTAAACTGGGGGACTCAGCAAGGCATCTTCGTTTAGACTCCTCTCGCCATCTTCACAGATCAAGATGCTCCTTTTCTTTGGGTATAGGGAGGCCAGCTCCTACATGAAGATTTTATAACTTGCTTTAGGGAAGAAGGAGGGTCAGAGAGTCCTTCCTACACCTGCTATTTCTCAAATTCTTCCTGCCTAAAATATTCAAAAGCCAAGGTGCCACATTTGGGAATAGTGTGTCCTGAACCCCATCAACTATGACTAACCCAGTACTAGGAAAAGATCTTTGTTCAACTGAAAGTGTGTGTGTGCTTATCTGTGTGAAAGAGAAAGAGAGAATTCCAGAAACATGTATTATGTATTTCAGGAATTCATACATTGGGAAAGGATGTAAATAGTACTTGAATCTTTACTCCAAAGTTGATTAAATTGCATTTAGATGTGATTTCTGCTCTAAGTCAAACATCTTAGAAAACACTATTCTAATTTTCTTTTAAATTAAATACACTATTTACTTTTGAACAAACAGAAACCCCAAATTTCTAGCCAACGCAAGTTGCAAATGAGTTCCACGCTACCTACAAGCAGTGTGGGCAGTCTTATAACAGGTGTACCCCAGACCCACACCCTAGGACATACTCTGTACGTCAGACTATCTTTGAGCTTAAGAAACTCAGTATCCCTGGGTGATACCCAACACGTGGGTATCTTACCCTTTGTTTTCCTTTGTCATGGCCCAGTTTTTCTCGGAGATTTTAGTCAGACGCTTGTTGTTATTCCCCTATCTTTGTAACTTCAGAATCTTGGATCTGGACCAACAGGCTTTTAATCAACCCAATTAAGGGACTGCAAGCAGGAGTCCAGTGAGGAAGGGCAGGTAACTTATGGGAGATGAATTTCTGAAATCATATGAAGGCAGCACTGGGCCTCATGCTGAAACACCGAGGTTTGCCAAGGGCTGCCAATCTGCCCTTTGGTCTTTCACATCGCCTCTCACCCTCCAAGTTCATAGGTCCTTTTCTTTGTTTTTACTGAAGTACAGTTGGTATACAATATTATATTAGTTACAATAGTTTCATGTGTACAATATAGTGATTTGACATTTTTATACCTCACAGTATGATCACCCCACTAAGATTAGTAATCATCTGTCGCTATGCACACATCACAATAATGCGGACTGTATTACTGAATAGGTTCTTTTAGCAACTAATTTGGTCCTGCTGAGGCTTTGATTTGGCAAGTTACAGATATAATTCTTAATAAGCAGACATAATATACCAAGTGAAAGGAACTGCTATAAATAGGCCTTTAGTAATGTGGCGGTGAGGTGTTGGGGAGGGGAAGCATTCTACTGTCCTATGATTAGTCTTAGTCATTTAGCGAGCCTGTGCCTTTAAACTGTGAACTTCACAAGTATTTCTCAGTGTTTTTCTCTACCCCTTGCAGAACAGGGTGCTACACTGGGCCGGAGTTGTGTTATTTCCCTTCCCCAGGTCAGACAGGCTTCGGTTAACTAGTTTCCCCTGTGGGCAGGAACAGTGCCCTGGTGCACTTCAAGCAGTTCCTTTCCCGGTCTCTTGGCTAGAAGCACAAGGAGATTTCTCTCTGACACTTACTATTAGAACCTGGTCAAGATAATGGAAGTAAACCTCACAAAACTGGGGAGGTCCCGCTATGCCTGGGTCCCTTTGTAGTATTCAGCTCTCACAATTGTCCATACTCTGGGCCTCCAGCAATACAGCATCACCATGCAGGGGTTCCTGGCCGGGCACTGCTTCCCCAGGAGCCTCCACTCGGAGTCTCTGCTCCATGAAGCCAGACTCCCTGTGTCTTTGGCAGTCTCCTCTGCCTTGGGGGCAGCAGTCGGCCCTAGGTCATCCCTCTCTTATAGATACAAGAAGAGCTTTTGATTTTTCAGTCTGATCAGCTTTTTACTCATTGTTAGGATGGAGGGGTGACTTCCAGGGTCCTGACAAGCAGAACTGGAAACTGGAAGTTCTAAATACAGGGTGGGGCCGAAGTAGGTTTACAGTTGTGAATATGCAAACCCCTGCATTTATTCTTGCATTATTTATTAATTACTATATTATTTCCCATACGTACAACTGTAAACCTACATTTGCCCATCCCCGTTTTTAAACTTCCACTTTCCAATTCTGCAAAAATTAGTAGTTCAAAGAATACACAGATCAAAGAAATAGATCATTGAAAAACATCCTTGCAGCCTAGGGAGAAAAATAACACAATTTCGAAATCTTCAAATAAGGCACTAAATGGATGGTACGTGGTTACTGGTATCTAAATGGCAAAACAGCCCCGGGGGGAGATGGTAAGCATGATGCAAACTGCGTTAGGACAGTAGGATTGTATTTTCCATACAGGATTGTATTTGAGCAGTTGCTATAGCAAAGGAAGGAAGTAAACAATGAGCACCTAGGTGGAGAGACATACTGGAATGCACGAAGGCGTCTCATTATCTATAAGGAAAACCGCCTCAGACTTCCAAAAGTATCCAAAACAGCAAACTGGAAGAAGAGCCTCAACCTTTAAGTCCTATAGACAACAAAGACGTCATGTTCCCGAGGAGAATGAGCCCTTGTCAGTCAGTTAGTTCCAAACTGCAGCAAGAAGATGACTTAGTAAGGGAGTAGAACAAGGGACTTTTACTCAGGCAAAAGTACTGTAACCTTACCACTACTTCTAATCTTTAAGGTATATCAAATACTTTTAATTCTTCTTTATATTCTGATGGCATTTCCATTAACAAGCACATGATGTGAATTCTGTAGCGCTAAGAAACTTACGACTGTATTACAAGGCCTTTAGTTAGCAAACAGAACACGATGTTAGACACATCATGTCTAAGCAGTAAAATACCGGCTTACTGCTAATCCAAAGATGAAGTTTGAGGATTTATTTGCTGCATTTGAATCTCACTCTTAATTCTTGTTTTGTTGGGGGGAAATGTATGTTTGTTTTTCCAATGAGTATTATTTTTGTTGATTATGTATGATGAAATATATATCGTAAGGGCCATCAGGCCTCTAATAATGTGTTCTGTATAATTAAGATGAGTTATCAGAAACATCCAATGATTAAAACTCTAATCATGTATCATTTTTATAGGAAGTTTACAGAGACCCATCTGAAAACCATTCCCAGTTGTGCATTTTCAAATCTGCCCAATATTTCCAGGATGTAAGTCGTTTATTTTGTTTTTGTTTTTTTTAAAGACTTTATTTTTATTTATTTTTAGAGAGGCAAGGGAGAGAGAAAGAGAGAGAGAGAGAAACATCAATGTGTGGTTGCTGGGGGCCATGGTCTGCAACCTAGGCATGTACCCTGACTGGGAATCGAACCTGTGACACTTTGGTTCGCAGCCCACGCTCAATCCACTGAGTTATGCCAGCCAGGGCGTAAGTCATTTTTTAAAGTAAAAATTTTGCAACTGTGACATGTTATTTTCTAAATGTGTCCTATACAGAAAAAGTATCTCCATATGTAATTTGATGTACAAGATGTACATCAAAATTATCTCCATATGCAGTTTGATGTACAAAATGCATATGAACATTTTATGTACAAGATGTTTTTTGATTTGTTACATGTCTATTCCCTAACTCCTAAATGATTTTTAAAGCTAAAATAAATTTAAATTAATTTGCTCTTTAAAGTTTAATAATTCTTGATGCATTTTACTATATCTCGGGATGTGGCAAAATCTCACCTAAAAAAATCTCTCCTATAAACAGATTTCTCTATTTATAATCAATCTATCTTAATTACTCACTTTTTACCACTAATACAAATGCTTATATTTTTCCATAAATGTAGCCAATGATTTCAGATTTCATTATTATCTAATACAACTAACTCCTAAAGGAGTATCTCTAGCCCTGACCTGCTCTTACAGTTTAGGCCTGCTTTACAAACTTCCCTCCAAATAACATCACCTTGATGTCCCACACCAGGATAAACTCAGCATATCCAAAATAAACTCTCCATCTTCCCCCTGAACTGCCCCTTCCCTAGTCCCTGTAATAGCACCACCGTTCAGTGGCCTGCAAGCTGAAAACCTCAAACTCCCCTTCGGCTCTTCCTCTTCCCTCCTCTCCCTATACAATGACCTATTTCATGTCTCCACTTGTCTGTATTCATGCATTCACTTGACAAATGTTTACTGAGCCCTACTGTATGCACATTAGGATCATCTGGGAAGCTTTATAAAATAAGAGTGTTTGCCCCATCCCTCATAAACATTGACTTAATTATCCTGGGCCAAGTCTTGGACTTCTCTTTGTTTTAATAGCCTTCCCAGTGGTTCAATTGTATGGCCAGGGTTGAGAATCTCCACTATGGCTACAGGTGGACACCATCTGTTAATCGTTAATTTTCCCAAACGTCACAGAAATTCCTCTCAATAAAAATCCCATCATTGAACTTGGCTGCATTAGTCATTCACGTTACAAGATGAAATTGGAGACTGTTGGAAATGTCATTCCTATATATTCTTGTAGTTAGAAGTTTCTCTCTCTCCCTTTTTACTATGTAAAACTTTTGTTATCTTTTTGCTTAAAAGTTCAAAACAAACCTTGAATTTTTAGCATCATCAAAATCAAGAACAAAATTACTGAGATACAATGTAGCCATCACTCCCTGGAATGTTCCACTAGAGCATTGTGGATTTCTCTTCATCTTCTTTGAAATTACATCTTTAATTCCATATTATTAAGTGGTCCATTAAAAATACCTCATTCATTCTTGAATTCTTTTGTAATGTCTTTCATTTTCTGTTCTTTTGTGTAACTTACCTATTCATTCATGTAATCATTCATTCACTTAACACATTTATTAGGAGTCTGCTACATGTCAAGCACTGCAAAAGGGATTTGAGATTCAATGGCCACCAGAAACAAACACAGTTCCCCATTTCAGAGAATTTGGGGTGTAATGAGACGACATAAATCAAACTCATCCAAACAGTTGCCAAGTTGCACTGTGATAATTAGGGAAAGAATTTCATGCTGCCATGAAGATATATTATGAGAAATTTGACCTACTCAGGAAATTTGGGGAAAGCTTCTGAAGGAAGTATCAATTAAAAGAAACCTGAAGGATGAATGGATTTCATGTATTGGGAAACTTTCAGGTCTCACCAGATCTAAAAAAAAAAATAGTAACTAATTTTAACATTATTTGGAAAGAACCATGAGTATTATATATGATTTATGATCTAGGGAGCTCCTGACAAGGAACTTACATCAAAAGAGTATGTTTGGAGTTCACAGCCCTACTAACTTTTTATTTTGTCTTATGTTTTTGTGATGTTCAGCTACTTATCAATAGATGCAACACTGCAGCGGCTGGAATCACATTCTTTCTACAATTTGAGTAAAATGACGCACATGTAAGTACAATGAAAAATGCAGCATAGGCCCTGACTGGTGTGGCTCCATGGGTTGTGCGTTGTCTGCAAACTAAAAGGACACTGGTTCGATTCCTGGTCAGGGCACATGCCTGGGTTATGGGCCAGGTCCCCTGCTGGGAGGTATGTGAGAGTCAACTGATCTCTCCCTCTCTTTCTCCCTCCCTTCCTCTTGATCTGAAAAATAAATAAATAAAATATTTTTTAAAAAAGAAAAATGCAGCAGAGACCCAAGCCACCACTACTCTTGATTGATAATTTTGGGGTTCCAGATGGCAATGACAGTCCATCTATGGCTAATGGGAAGACCATATGGGGAGATCCTTAGATTACATGATGATGGAGAAAAGCCCAGCTGAGCCCAGCCTTCTAGCAACCCCCAGGCATGGAACCCTCCAGATCGATCCAGACACCAGCTAAATACCAGCCAAATACCAGCCAGTGATCCCAGTGGATTCCATATGAAACAGAAGAATCACTGAGTTTAGCACTGGCTGAAATCCCAATCCACAAAATTGAGCTATAATAAAATGGTTGTTATTTTACCACTTTGTTTAGGGTAATTTGATAGCCAAAAGAGGTGGCAACTATACTGGTATATCAGTTAAGGATGATTAAAAGACATTGAGGAAATTACAAGATTTACAGGTTTCTTACTGAGGCTCCTAAGTAGATATAAATCAGTTATCCTGGGTTTTAAACTTCAGCTGGGGTACTTTTTGGACCCTAAAGTGTACATCTGATAAAGATTTATACTTGTAAAGTGAAACATCAGTGGCCACTTCCATCTATTTCAATTCCTCTCTAAAGAAGCCAATAGGATATAAGTGATTTCTGTTGTTGCTCCTATTAATAATAGCTACCAATCACTGAATGCCTTTCATGGGCAAGCACCGTGCTGAGAGTGCTTCGCACGTACTGTCCCACTTAATCTCACTGAGCCCCCGTTTCTGCTACGTAAAATGAAGATGGTAACACACAGCTGACAGAGCTCCTGTCCAAGTTTACTCAGCTAAGAAATTACCGTCAGAATTTGAGACCACGAGCGTCTGCCTCCAAAACAATCGTAAAACCATAACATCTCTTTAATGAAAAGCAGACATAATTAAATAAAATGGTGCTTTCAGAAGGATGCTTTTACTTTTATAGGGATTTTTTTTAATCACAAGTAAATACAAATTCTACAGCTAAGTACATAAAGTGTGTGACTTTTGGCAAATAGTGTAATAAAACTTAATTTTGTCAATTCATTAAATTGAACCGAGTGGATTTATTGGAGGTCTTAGAGAACCAGTCTTGCCTGGTCATTCCATAGTCGCAAAAGCAGCAATATGTATCTTCCAGGCAATTCAAAAAATTACATTTATGAAGTTCTATTTCCAGTGGGAAATCTGATAAACTTACATTCTCCTCAATCCACTTCAAAAATCTCAGCATTTATAAAGAATTTGAACTAACATCTATTGTTTTAAATTCCTCAGCAAGTTAGAAGATGCATTAAAATCATGGCTTATCACCCTTTGGTTATAGATTATTTTTCCCCAGTCATGTAATGGAATGTTAGTACTAAAATACTTCATTGATAATTATCAAAGTAGACTAATTAAGATTTCTTTCATTGAAAAGCCTTGATAATGTAGAGATGACTTATTTTGTGAATTTATAGACTATTACTAAAAATGAGTACTAGTTTAAAACTCAGGACTTTAGAAGCTAAAGATCCAATATATTCCAAGAACTTTGTCAGATGTTATACTTTTTAACCCGGTAATCTCATGTCTATAAATTTTCCTTAGTAAAATAAACACTGGAGTGAGAAAAAGTTTACATAAAAAGCCATTTGTCTCAGAGTTAATTTATAATAGCAAAAATCTGGAAACGACTCACATGCTTAGCTAGTAGAACGGCTGAATACTTAACACTGAGCAAGTGCTAGAAGTCTGTTGTCATAGACCATTTGATCCCAGAGGAAATGCTCTTCATGTAATGCTATTAAAAAAAAAGATATACTTACAAAAAGGGGGGAAAAATCCCTGATTTTCTTTGAATCACGGAATAATGGAAGATTTCACATTTTTTTTATTTTTATAGTCAACTGAAATAAATTTTTTAAAAATTAAAGTTTCCTTTCATATTCATTAACCTTGAAATTAATACTTCAGGTTAAAATACATGGGTGGCTTATGATGTGATAAAAGTCTAACATAAAATGTTACTTTAAAATTAATTTACCTAATTCTAGTCCCAATTTTCACCTTGGTCCTGTACAGCATTTAAAGTATTCAAAGTAACACAATGATGGCTTTGCCAGTATATACACATCTTGTTTTTAAAGTAGTTAAATAATTAGTTTCCACTTCCCTAGATCTCCCAGAGCACGCAGTAAAGTTGTGCACAAAAGATGTCTAATAATTATTCGTTTGGTTTTAGTGAATCTTAACCCCCTCTGCTCACCAGAGCGAGCAGACCTAGGAACAGTCAGAGTGGCCTCCCCCTGCTTTTTTTTTGCACTATTGGAACTTAAAAGCAGACTAGAAAAATACTGAAAATCAAAATAAAGTAAAAGTTACAAAGAAACTGGGCACTGGCTGAGAGCTAGGTTTTGGCTGACATCTCCTTCAGTTTCTTGTTTTAAACAGCGTCATCTTACACATTACCGCATTTATATTTCTTAAAAGTCCAGCCATGCTGACCAGGCCAGCTTCACTGCTCTTCAGATACTTCACTCTCAGTCCGTCTCCTTGCCCTGTGCTAGTCTGAAGCTTCCTCATCTCTCTTGGCCCCATTGAACTTGGCAGGTGAAATGCCAACTCGGCTTCGCTATTGCCCTCACTTTGTTTCCCAGCTTGGCGTGCTTTTTGCTCATGAACTGGGGGTGTTTAGGGTGTGGGCAAATACCTCTAAGCCTGAGGATCACAGTTAAATGCCACGATCAAATGCTTGTTTCGCTGAAGTGGGAAGGGGGCCACCAGACAGTGGAAAGAAATCAGTAGTTGGAAAGTTCCTTAATTAGAGGGCTTTTAAGCCTCTCTTTCCCCTCTTTTGGCTCCCTGCCCCTGCAACCCGAGAACTCCCTCCTCTCACCTTGCTGGTTTCCCATATTCTTGGGGTTCAGGCCGGGCTCCTAAGTGCCCGCCATAATGCCAGTTGTTTTAAATAAGCCAGTTTCTCTGTTCTTGGCTCTTATTGAGACTTAACAAATGTTTCTCAGAAAAAAAAAAGAAAAAAAAACAGAATTGAGACATATGATTAAAGTGAACCTAAGGTATGCTAAATTATTAATCTGCTGGTTTCTGAAAACACTGCATACCTGGGCATCAATGTTATAATTTTTGCTTAAATGTCCATTTTATTTGAAATCTAATGAAGGGAAATTAAACAATGATGAGTATTTAAATTTTTTCTTAGTTCTGGTGGGTGATTTCCCATTACTTAAAAAAAAAAGCTGAATTTGTAGTTAGAAGTCCTAAGTCAAGGCTCAGGGTTGCCTCTGGCTGTTTAACAGGAGATCAGGCACCTCACCTTTCTCAACGTGTCTGCACTGCTGTGTCTGCAAAACGGGGAAGGTATCACCTGCTTCGCTTAAGTCAGTTCTGCCATTCCCTCACTGGCAGAACGGTCTGGAGTGATACAAAGTATATACCCAGTCCCTTTTTTACCTTTTAACCTTCCAAAGCTGGGCTTTTCTAACCAACAAGCTTCACAATCCTCAAGTATTTCCCTGACACAGCGAAATCACACCCCCCCCGCCCCGCCCACAGCAGAGTGGACTTGAAGAGTTGAACACACTATGTGGCCCAGCATATTTTTTAAAAAATTGATATAGAATCTCTATTGCTTTGCTTTGTTTTTTAACTTGAGGATTTTTGCATGCCTTTTATTGCATTTTTTCTTCTTTGAACAAGATAAAATAAAAAGTGAAAATCACACGCTCCTGGTCTCCAAACCTATCTACCAGAGCTACTTGTGAACGGTGTACTCTGTACGTTAAGAATTGTATCAGTGTTGATTGTATTGGTTTCAGTGGGCTAATTACTATAAGAAATGGACAAACATAAAACCGTGGGACAGACCTCAGGTGACCGAAGTTTATGTCTTGCTCCTGGGACAATACTGGGTGAAGGAGAAGATCTGCAGGGCAGCTCTCGTCCCCACCCCTGCCCCGACCCCGCAGTCACGCAGGGATCCTGGCTGCTGACCCAGTGGCCCCTCCACCTTCGGTTTTTGTTCACACCTACCAGGGAAGGCATCTCCATTCCAGCTCGCTGTGTTCAATTACACGTAGGTTTCCTTTCCCTCCGTGCGCACCCCCCACACCCCGACCTCCCCGCAGCTTCACCACCCTCCTGTAGCTTGGACCACGATTGATTGCTTAACTGAAAACTGTGATTCACATTCAACTTCCCAGGCATGCTTACAACCCATTCAAATGTGGACCCTCTTTCACCCTTCTCCTGCGATCAGAGGTTCTGTGGTACCTACCTCTACTCCGCCTTGCTTGCTTTCTTAGAAAAACTTCTGGCCCCTACATTCACTTCTGACCTTGTCTCCATTTACTTAACTACTGGCAGTCCATACTCCTGCCCCTTCCTAGCTTCAGCATATTTTATCGTTTTTCTCTAGCTGTATTGAGCTACAATTAACAATATAACATTGTGTCAGTTTAACCTACAAGGTGTTGATTTCATACACTTACATACAGCATAGTGATTTCTGCTATAGTAATAGCTAACGCCTCCATCCTGTCACGTAATTACCATTTCTCTTTTGTGAGAACATTTAAGATCTCCCTTAGCAACTTCCAAGTACATAGTACAGCATTATTCGCTATAGTCACCGTGCTGCACATTAGAGCGTAGAATTTGTTAATCTCGTAACTGGAAGTCAGTTCCCTTTGATCGATATTTCCCCATCCCCCATCCCCAGCCTCTTAACAACCACTCCACTCTCTAGTTCTCTTGAGTTCAGCTGTTTTAGATCCCACATATAAGTGACAGCATACAGAGTTTACCTTTCTCTCAGCATAGGTTTTTTTTTAGTCCCTTGTGGGTGGGTTTTGGGCTGATTGCCCTCTTATCTCGGAAAGCGGCTTCTTTTCCCTGGTGTTTTCTTGTAGTATCTCTTATTTATCTTTCCTTTAACTCTTACCCTTCCCCCAGAAATCCCTCTTCTCTCTCTGTCTTCCCCACCCCCTCTCCTGCAGCCTCTCCCACCTCTTTCTTCTCTCACAGCAGCCATCCAGGTTGCAGCTCATTTAATCGGCTGTAACCAACGGTACTGCCTCTCTCCCTTTCATTCATCACCTCTGAAGCTGATTCATTTGGCTGCACTTCATTTCGTTGTAACATCCTCTGGGGTCACTCACTGAAGTCTGCTTATTAAACCACAGACTCTTCTGGAACAATTTTCTAGACTACAAACCACACTCAAGACAGTTTCCTAAACTCTCCTAAATGGTTTATGTTTGATGGTCTCTGACAGCGGCTCAAACCCTCCTCCCCAAATGGAAAGCTCTGGCAGGGAGTTTACTGCTCACCCTGCAGAGACGGTGCACCGCCTTGGCAGAGTCTGATAGACCCTCCGAGGGCAGGGTGGGACAGGTGTGAGAATGTGCAGCAGGTGGCCACCCGCCCCAGTTTACCCAGGACAGAGGGACTCTCAGGGGAGAGGTTTTTAGTGTCAAAACAGCAGAAAAACTTAAATGTAGTTTAAAGTGGGGCTTTCAATGCAGGGCCTTGGTTGGGTAAAGATCATGATATGATAGGATTCGTAGAAACAAGACAAAGGTTGACCTGAGGGTTCTCAGAGTTCTGGGATATAAACTATTGATGTTCTGTTGAAGCTTCATAGGTCTTTTAAGAAGTACCCATAATGAACAATAAAGTTATTTATCTGGGAAAAAGTTATGGCAATGAAAACAATGGGCCAGTAAGGTTATGTTAACACAGACAGTAAACTGAGGTAGATGGTTTCTGTTCTCAGAGTTCATTCCACCCTCTCTTTTCCAAGGTCAGTTTCATACTCAACATCCTCAGTCAAATACCAAACCTAGTATTTTGTTGTTGTTGTTTTGCTTTTACATTTGGTACGAACATTGCAGCCCAACCCAAGTTCTTGGTGTCTGCTCTAGCTTTCATTCCACTTAGGAGAATAACATAACACACTGATTGTTTACAGAGCCCTCACTGTGTGCTAGGTCATGCATCGAACTCCTTATAGACATTCGATCCTCACAAGAGTCCTGTGATGAAACAGGAGCTGTTGTCCCTATTTACGTATGAGGAAACTATGGCTCAGATGGTCAAGGAATTTGCCCCAAGTCATGTAGCCAGAGTGGCAGAGCCAAGATTCAATCTCAGGCCCATCTGACTATTCAGCAATAAAAAGGAGCAAACCACTGATACATGCCACACGGATGAACCTCACAGGCATTATGTTAAAGGAAAGAAGCCAGACATAGAAGACTACATATCTGTGATTCCATTTATATGAAATGCCCAGATAAGGCAAATTTATAGAGATAGAAAGCAGATCAGTGGCTCTTAAGCATGGCGAAGGGGGTGGGAATTAACTACAAATGAGCATATGGTTGCATTTGTCATTGATAGAAAGGTTCTAAAACTGGATTGTGGTAATGGTTGCACAATTCTATAAATGTACCAAAAATCTGCCCGGGCTGGTGGGCTCAGTGGAGTAAGCATTGGCCTGCAAACCAAAAGATCACGGGCTTGATTCCTAGTCCAGGTACATGCCTGGGTTGTGAGCCCAGTCCCCAGCTGAGGGCATGCAAGAGGGAACCAGTCGATATTTCTCTCCCTCCCTTTCTCCTTCCCTCTCCTCTCTCTAAATATAAATAAATAAAATCCTTTTTAAAAAAAATTAAATTTACCAAAAATCATTTAATTGTATACCTGCCATGCATGAATTTGTAGAAATTCTCCTTCAGTGTTCTAAGTCTTGTCGTTGTCACTATCAGCAACTGAATGCAGGTCCCTTCAGACATCAAGCCTTGGGTCCATCCCAAAGAGGAGAGGCCATGGGTCTTCCTGGGCTCCTCTGTGCTCTCCTGTAAGCACGGGGAGCACCTTGAAACTCTTCTAACCAATCTACGTATGTTCACTACATTTAATTCAAGCAGTGAAAGCCTATTTCTAACAATCACTAATTTCACTAATGCTAACTGCATTTTGATGAGCATGCACGCAAACCAACCATGTAAATTATAGACACATGCGATATCATACCACATGTGCTGAAGAGTCTTAAATTACTGATGTAGAAAAACAAACCCAAGGGAACTGTTGAGACTCACTACACCCACTACCTCTGAAATAGCAATTAACAGAGGGACCTCACTGCCCTCATCACCTTGCTGCCACCCATCAAAAGCACTCAAGCACCCAGCCAGGGCCAGGATACTTGCTCCTGTTAGCACTGAAGGTTTCTGTCCTGCACAAACCGCTGAAGAGGTGTTTCTTTTGTATTTATACCTCGAAGTAAGACAAGGCTCTGGGACTAAGATTAAAAGAAAGGTTGCCCATGAAGGCAAAAGGACCGAAGTGAAGCTGATGACGTGAGAGGTCTGAGCAGCTGCTGCGTCCCTGGGAGCGGGCCTGAGCACTGCGTTGGGACTGACCCCCGGCAGGAAGAGTCCGTGGGGTGTCACGTCCATGTGTATTCTTCTCCTGTTAAACCTGATTTATGTTGTTTTATCTTTGGTAAGAACAGAAATGGATGTATTATGGTGAATGTGCTCTCTGTGACTTTTATAGAGAGATTCGGAATACCAGAAGCTTAACTTTCATAGACCCTGGTGCCCTAAAAGAGCTGCCTCTTCTGAAGTTCCTGTAAGTAGTAACGCCACTCTAATGCCATTTTTAACTTTTTTTCCAGAGAATTATAATGTTATTGTCTACCAAGAATCTCCCTAGCATGATATGCAACAGGATCGTTTTTTAGTGGAGTAAGGCCTGGGGCAAACCACGTCCTGTGGCTTACTCCCCACTCTTTCCCATCAGGCAAGGTATCAGGTGAAATGGTCCACATTTTATAAAACCTATTCAGCCCTGGCCAGTGTGGCTCAATAGGTTTGGCATCATCCTGCAAACCGAAAGGTCATGGGTTCCATTCCCGGTCAGGGCATATGCCTGGCTTGCAGACAAGGCTCCCAGTTACAGGTGTGCTGGAGGCAACTGATTGTTGTTTCTCGTACACATCGATGTTTCTCTCCCTCTCTCCCCCTCCCTTCTGCTCTCTCTAAATATAAATAAAATCTTAAAAAAAAACCTATTCAAAAGTAAGTATGTAGTGCTGGGACCAGAAACCTGCTCGAAGAGACATGGAGAAAATGCAAACTGTGTGTGTGTGTGTGTGTGTGTGTGTGTGTGTGTGTGTGTTTAAATAGAGTATAACAGAACAAAACAAAATGAAGAACTCTGAGTGCCCAGTGGTCAATTGATTAGAAAAACATTTTGCAAATATAGGAGGGTAGCTGCTACATAGCAAAAATAAAAAAAGCCACAAGGGGTAAAATTCAATCTCTTGTAGGCTGTGGGGACAAAAACGGAAGGGATGGCACTTACTCCTTAGCTTTGGTAACACCTTAACTATAATTCCATGAGAACAGGAACCACATTGGTGTTCTCTGTTACATCTTTCCTGACTAGCTCAGAGTAGGTGCTCAACAGTAATGTGTTCGGTGGGCGTACATGTGTGGCCTTAGGTCCTCTAGACTCCAGCTGGAAGAGCCCCTCTCACCTTCCCACTTTCCTGCTCACATGCTTTGTAAAAGGTAAGAACACAAAAACATTAAGAGGGAAAACTACTAATCAACCTTAATCCCAATGCCCAGAAATAATCACTATTGACACAGTTCATTTCCATCTAGGGATTTTACATGAAAGTATATAGCCATGTATATTTTATGAAATGTCTTTAAGGATGAATAGATGTTATCCAGGAAAAGAAGAGGGTTGAGGTAAACGAGAAATACAGATGAGTGGAAAAGCATGATAAAGACACAAAGGTAGCCCTGGCCAGGTGGTTCAGTTGGCTGGGGCATCTTCCCATACACCAAAATGTTGCAAGTTTTATCCCTGGTTGGGGCATGTACAGGAGGTAACTGACTAATGTTTCTCTCCCACATCAATGTGTTTTTCTGTGTGTGTGTATGTGTCCCTTCCCCTCTCTCTAAAATCAATAAAAACATATCCTCAGGTGAGGGCTTTTTAAAAAAGACACAAAGGTGGTATTTGGGAGTAGGGGGAGGAACTAAGAATAGTTCATTATTGAAGAAGTAGGATCAGGAGATACTGGAAGGCTAGAAAAGGGTATTAATGGGTTATATGGCTGAAGGGGTATCTGGGGAGTGACAACAACTTATGGGACAAGGCAATCACTCCTGTGTGGACTTCGTGTTTCAATCAATAAATAACCCTGATACAGTGATCCCTGCTCTGTGCAAGGCTCTATGGGAAACACATACGATAGTGAAATACTGCCCTTGCCTTCAAGAAGCTTACAATCTAGTTGGGGAGGATACTATATATGAAACTGAAAAGTTCCCCCCGTACAGGAAAATAATGGTAAGTGAACAATGAAAACTACATACATTATTGGGCGTACAGGTCATTAGAGGAGATATCAAAATGAAGATGGACTTGTCCAGGTCTTTGAGTAGAGAGGTCCTGATCCAAGTCCCTAATCTGGCATTTCAGCCCTTTCCTATATGTTCCCCACCTGAATCTTGGGCCTCTTTCCCCTACTCTCCCACGTGAACCACTATTGCACTTGAACTAGTTTGTTCAGGTCCCTCCTTTGTTCTCTACAATGTCCCATTTTCTCTTTCTGAGACCTCTGGCTCCTGCTTCCTCTTCAAATCCTATGTCCTCTCCTCTAGAAGGAGTCAGGTCAGAAGTAGCCTTAGAAGGCATATCAGTGGAACTAGAGTTTTCTCTGCTGGAAGATTTTTTGTTTAAGGCTTCACTGGTAGTATCTAGGTCTTACATCATGGCATGCCAAACCTCTCAAAAAAATCTTTGTCTACTGCCTACATTCTAGTAGCTACCGACTCAATCTGGGAGGCATCCAGAACCTGAGAGTTTTTGTGTTTGTGCTGTTAATGTAATCTTTTATTTTTGACATTTTGTCCTGATGACACAAACTTTGGAAAGGGAATATGTCTTTGCTTTCTTTCCTTGGCTGGACACAGTTTTTAAATGGGGCTGCTGCATGGTACTCCCAGTGACTGCCAGAGGGAAACAGTCCCTGCAAAACAATGAGCACAGCACAAAGTAGAGTTTGAAAGAGGAAGTTTGGCTTGGAGTTGACTAGTTACATTGTCTACCTGCCCCACACCCATATTACATACTCACAAGACACACACCTGGACACCCACAATGTCTTCCAATTAAAACATGAACATCACACACACACACACACACACACAGAAATCTGAATGCTTTTCCTTAGGCTCTTTCTTGGTTCAAAAAATCCCCAGATTCTTCTAAACAAAAAAGATGTTCTGACACTGGTGGACTGGATTAGATTATTGTACCTTGAGGGAATATTGTCTCACCCAAGGGTTAGAACTTGCCCGTGTCACTCAGGTATTTAGTGCAGCAGTTAGGATTTGCTTTCAGTTGAGCTTCAAAACCCATGCTTTCAGGTATTACATTATTCTACTTCCTATATGTTAATTTTCTTAGCTGACTTCTATTTTTTTCTTTTTTATTACTTTAGTGGCATTTTCAACACTGGGCTTAAAATATTCCCTGACCTGACCAAAGTCTATTCCACTGATGTGTTCTTTATACTGTAAGTATGCACCTGTGCAATGTTTGGCAATATTTTATTTGTCACTGACAAGGAATAGAGTGCAGCCATTGGTGCTGATCAAAGCCAAGTGGAGCAATTGTTCAAGAAGGAAGCAGTGATCAGCTGTGACAAATGCCATAATGGCTGAGGCATGGCCACTGGGTTTAGTAATGTGGGACATTGGTGATCATAACAAGGACAGCCTCAGGGGAGTGCTGTTGGTGAAGTCTGGTTAGAGTGGGCTAGAAGGAGAATCACAGAGAGTGATCATGACAAACTCTTGAGAAGTTTTACAGCTATAAGAGAGCAAAAAATGTCTCAGTAGTTGGTGAATATTGTGTCAGGAGAAAAGGTTGGTTGTATTTTTTCCATCGTAGAAATTATGGCATGTTTGTTTACTGGTAGAAATTATTAAATAGAAGAAAATTTTGGCAATGATTATACTTTAACTTTCACCTAGCTTTTAAATAATTTTTGAACACTTTCCAATGCATTATCAAGGTTGCTCCTCTGAATCACCTTCTTAAGTCATAAAAAAGTTATAATTTTTCCATTCTACAAATGAGGAAACTGAGGAATAGAAGACCTAAGTGATTTTGCTTGAGCAGAGTCCCAAGGAGCAGTCCCTAGAGGTGCTCAATCTACTTCCTATGGCTTCTGATCGGCTATGTGCTCTTTACCAAAACCTGTGACATAGTAATGTGTCCTACCTAGATGTACAGAAGTGAAAGGATGGAGCAGCGATCACTGACTGGACAAGCCTCCACAACCGCTGGTGCTTCTGCACACCCTTCTAGGGACTAGAGCACATTACCATCCCCTCCTGAGAACTTATAAAAAATTAAGTGGATGTACCAAGACAAAGAAACATGGCCCAAATGAAAGAACAGACCAAAACTCCAGAAAAGTAACCAAGTGACAAGGAGATAGCCAACCTATCAGATGCAGAGTTCAAAACACTGGCAATCAGGATGCTCACAGAAACTATTGAGTTCAGTCACAAAATGAAAGAAGAAATGAAGGCTATGCAAAAAGAAATAAAGGAAAATACAGGGAACAAACAGTGAAGGGAAGGAAACCAGGACTCAAATCAACGATTTTGGAAAAATGGAAGAAATAGTTTCATCCAAATTGGAACAGAATAAAAAAATAAGAACTTAAAAAAATAAGGAGAGGCTGGGGAACCTCTGGGATAACTTTAAATGTTCCAACATCTGACTCATAGGAGTGCCAGAAGAAGAAGAGGAAGAGCAAGAAATTGAAAACATATTTGAACAAATAATCCAGGAAAACTTCCCTAATCTGGTGAAGGAAATAGACATGCAAGTCCAGGATGCTCAGAGAGTCCCAAAGAAGTTGGATCCAAGAATCAACACACCAAGACACATCATTATTACATTACCCAATATTAAAGATAAGGAGAGGATCTTAAAATCAGCAAGAGAAAAGGAGACAGTTACCTACAAAGGACTTCCCATAAAACTATCAGCCGATTTCTCAAAAGACATCTTACAAGCAAGAAGGGGTTGGAAAGAAGTATTCAAAGTCATGAGAGGCAAGGACCTACATCCAAGATTACTCTATCCAGCAAAGCTATCATTTAGAATGGAAGGGCAGATAAAGTTCTTCCCAGATAAGGTCAAGTTAAAGGAGTTCATCATCACCAAGCCCTTATTATATGAAATGTTAAAGGGACTTATCTAAGGAAAAGAAGATAAAAAACTATAAACAGTAAAATAACAACAAACTCACAGCTATCAACAACTGAACCTAAAAAACAAAAACAAAAACTAAGCAAACAACTAGAACAGGAACAGAATCACAGAAGTAGAGATCACATAGACGGTTATCAGTGAGGAGGTGGAGGGGGAGAAGGGGGGAAAGGTACCGGGAATAAGAAGCATAAATGGTAGGCACAAAATAGACAGGGGGTAGGTTAAGAATAGTACAGGAAATAGAAAAGCCAAAGAATTTGTATGTACAACCCATGGACGTGAACTAAGGGATGGGGGAATTCAGGAGGGTGGGGGGATGCACTGAGGAGGGGGATAAAGGGGAGAAAAAATGGGACAACTGTAATAGCATAATCAATAAAATATACTTTAAAAAATTAAGTGGATATTAAAAAATGTGAAAGGATGTATACAAAGAGAGTTACAGGTTGAGTTTGACCTACAGAGTCAGCAGAATGTGGAGTGATAGGATCCAAACTGTTGGGATTTTGCTAGGAAAAAATTGACCATGCTTCTTTGCTGCAGAAGAGCTCAGTTCAAAACACAGACAGTCTCCCAGCAACTAGAGTGGCATAGAAATGTTCTCTGGGAACACCCTCCTAGCAGTGTTTTCCAAGTGGAGAATACTTACTCATGAAATGAAACCCATTGATCTCATTCTACCAACTCTTTTTAGAAGTGCCATATACTTAGAAAACTCTAGATGATATGGACAACATATTTGTCAGATTCACAAGAAGTCTCTAAGACCCACATGCTCCCCTTGCAGATAAAAACTGAGTCAGGAACTCCAGCCAAATCCAAAGCTCACTCACTTACTGGACATTTGGGGTCCTGCATGCGTATCTGTCTAGGATGGCTCTTATCACCTCACTCGACCTCTGAGCCACCAGCAGCAAAGTCAATGAAATGTAAAAAGAAGGAAGGTTAAACTAAATTGTGTCAGGTTATTTATACTTAAGTGCATATGTGCAGCAAGGGTCCAACTTCAAGAAATAAAAATAAAATAAATTACTGTTTTCACCAAATGTTTTTATCTTTCTCTTGCAGGGAAATTACAGACAACCCATACATGACTTCGATCCCTGCAAATGCTTTTCAGGGACTGTGCAATGAAACCTTGACACTGTGAGTATTGTTATAATTTTTCATTCTACAAGTGCTAACAACTAAATTTTGATATCCTACTTTCACAGGCCATCTAAGACCCACACCCCCTCACAGTGAGTGCTCTGTGGTCTACCAAGGGTTTTACATAATTAAACAAGAGCATTGCCTTATGGTATGGTACTCCAAAGATGACAAAATGGCTTCAGTAATAAGACAAGAGGATGTCCTTGTAGAAACAGCCAGCACGCTTTATCTGTAAAAGGCCACTTAGGTTTTACAGACCACATGGCCTTCGTTGTAATGGCTAAACTACCATTTTAGGGCAAACACAGCCATGAACAATTTAAAAACCAATGAGCATAGCTACATTCCATAAAGTTTTCTTTAAAGAACAGGCAGTGGGCTAGATTTGGCCTGCAGGTCTTGTAATGTTCCATGTTCTAGTACATTCCCTGTGCAAGGGGAGAACCCATGGCTAAAGCTAATTTAAGTGACTTTCCCAAGGTCAGTGAGTTAGGAAATGGTGTCCCTGAGGGGTTTTCTTACTCTCTGCATTCACACTTTACCTCGGTCACCACCAACTATTATTAAGCTCTTATAAAGGGATATTGAATAGAAAATACAGTGCTGCTCAACATCATTTTTAGTTTGAATGGTTTCTACTCTGTCGATGTTCAAAAAGAGATGCTTTATCAGGGAAATTCACAAAATGTTCTGATAAGAAGATCAAACAGAGGTATTAAAAATAAGTTTACGCTCTAGCCTGGTAAAGAATTCCCCTCTTTTACTGAATGAGCCACAAAGTAGGGTTGGGACCTTGTGCAAAGGGTCCTTCCTCTCCAGTTTTAGTATCATGCCCAAGTGCAGGCATGGTGGGTGTTCTGCCTGGATTGTCACCCGGCTCCCTCTCTCCGGTCACACTGCAGTTCAGGGATTCTTTATCATATACAGACCTCACTGAATTATTCCTCAGCACAACTGCTTCAACCTTCCACACAACTCTTCTAAGAGGCTGTCTCCAAGCTATTCTAAGTCTATCAACCTAGGCCCCATGACACTGTCTCAACTTCTGGGCTCCATCCACACTTATCTTTCTCCTTGAAACAGGAGGGTTCCCTTGAAGAGAGACTCCTTCTCTGCTGCCAGTTCATTTGGCTGCACAGCAAGGACCTGGGGTCTTAGCCTGCTCACCCCCAGACCTCAGAGTCTTTTACTTCCTCTGTAAAACTTTCCATTGTACCATTTACCACTCATCATACCTAAGGGCCGTTCAGTCTCTTTACAGAATGTTACCTTCCCCTTTGGGCATGTTTTCCCCTAAGGACCCCATATCCCAAGCAGCTCTCTCAAGTGAAAGCAGCTCACTGTCCCACAGCTAGTTTGGGGACCAGCAGGTATTTGAGAAACATGGAAATGAGGATTTCCTGAAACCTAGAGGTGGGGATAGCATGGGCTGTCCACTATCTTTTCAGATGATTATTTCTACATTCCTGCAAGAGTCCTCCCTTCTTTGAAGCTCACGCTCAAACAACTGTAAACATGAGAGGATACGTGTCCCACGGCAGAGTCTGTGCCCAGATTCCTGGTAGAATAGGGTTTCAATGAAAGTTTGCTATCCTTTACCTTTCCTTATTATTTTTCTTCTTGCACTGTTTTCTCTTTTCAAGACCTACTTGTATGATACTTTCTTTTAATCTCTGAAATGTAATTCCAACAAAGAACATTTTTATCATCTAGGACTCTCAACAAAGTTCGGGTAAATTGAAATATCAAATGTGTCATTCTCACATCTTCATAAAAGAACTAGGGTTCGCACACACACACAAGTAAATATCAGTGCTTTCTCAGCCTCTGTGCCCAGTGTCCCTGGGCATTGAAGTCTTCGCCTAGGATACCTTGGTAGCTGCAATTAGACTCATTGTGTAATTATTTAAAACAAGGAAAGATTACCTCTTAGTTCAACACATAGAATAAATCCAACTTTTCATGGCCATCTACCAAATTTTTCGGACTGTAAGACGCACAGGACCATAAGACACACCTGGGTTTTAGAGGAGGGAAATAGGGGGAGAAACTTTGAAGCAAAAAATGTGGTAAAATATTTAAACATAAATAACATAGGCTGCCACTCCCCCCACCCCAGCAAGCCAGGTAAGCTACAGCTACATTTGGACTACAAGATGCACCCCTCCTTTCCCTCCCAAATTTGGTGGGGGGGGGGGGGGCTGCATCTTATAATCCAAAAAATATGGGTAAGAGTTTCTCATGGCATTGAACATATAGCTATTTCATTGTCCCAGCAACCTTTTGATTGGGTATTATTATATTTTTACAGATAAGGAAAGTGAGGATAATAGAGGTTGAGAAATTCTCAGGATCACCTACTATGAAGTGCAGAGCCAGGTGTAATTGTAACTTTGGAATCTCTTTTTGTACTTCCTGCATTACCAGAGTGTACAGGTGGGACTACACTGGTGTTCAAAGTTCCCCCGCAGCTGCCCTTCGCAGTGCCTGACTGTGGCCACAGCTGCCTTCTCTTATTGCACAACAGTGTTTCCCAATAACCCCCATGCACCCTCTCACACACCAGACTTCCCACGGCTGGGGCTCCTTCTCCTGCCTGAAGGGTGTGTGTTTCTGCTGACTTGGAAGAATGGCTTTTGAGATCAAAAATCCTGATTCCTGATAGCTCTGAGGCAGTGTCTTTTGGGCAAGTCACCTCCACATCGCAGTACTTTCAGTAGGAAAGAGAGGTGATAACACCTCCGTCCAGCCCTGGAATCATTGTATAAATTAATTAGTTGAAGAAACATAGCAACAAATTAAAACATTAAAATTTCCACAATGACCTATCTACTTTCTTAAATTCTATCTCCTATCTTATATTTGTCTTTCAAGTTCAACTTGGTTCAGCCCACACAATTAATCATTTAATCTGTGATGAGTCCTGAGATAAAAATATAGATAAAATACAAATTCAAAATAGCATTTTAAACAGAAAGCTATAACACCTATGCATTCAGATGAATAATGTCTTTAAAAGTGTTGATCTTGGACAAGGACCATGGTGTGGGAATTGCCTAGGGCAGGGCTGGAAGGAAGCGGGCAAAGGGGAGAAAACTGAGGCAACTGTAATAGCATGAACAATAAAATGTTTTTAGAAAAGAAAAAAGTGTTGGCCTTAAGGAACTGCAGTTATTCCTCCATTATTGATCTTGGGTTAACTATTAACTAAAACCACTGTTTTTTGAGTGTATGTGGAATATTTTTTTAAAGTCCTTAATGGTGACAAATCATCGTTCCTCCAAGTGAATCTGCTTCTGAAAAGCAGTGTGAAGTTACTAGAAGCTAAGTCTAGAGAATGAAAATTCAAACTGAGAAGTAAGATTCTATGTCCCAAGCAAGACGTATTGTAGTTTTCTTGTGGGCTCAGATGTGGGGCCTGAGAACCTTCAGGCACATTTCTGGCACTGAAGAATGGAAGCCCAACCTCTGAAATGGGCCAGCACCACCTCTCATGGGTCACTGATTTCTCCTTTCTGTTTGTAGGAAACTATACAACAATGGCTTAACTTCAATCCAAGGACATGCTTTCAATGGGACAAAGCTGGATGCTGTGTAAGTCAAGGATAGCCATGGAAACCACTATGCTCCCCCACAGTCCCACCCCAAGAAGGCCCTTCCAATGGGTCAGGCTTCTTCTTAGAGACAGTTTCTGCCAGAGCATTCCTTAACTGCCCAGTTAGTATGACCAAAGCTTGGGGATGACGTTAAGGATCTTGGCAAGAGCCAGCTTTAGTGGACACACTTATAGGGACTCCCATTCTAAATCCCAAAGCTTTTACCCTCATTAAAATGATAGCATTGGGTATGGAAGAGATTTTCACTAATTAAGTTTTCTGAACTTAATAAAAATACCCCTTTACTTCCTGCACATAGCAGATAAACACTGACACACACACATCTCCGGGTATCTTGTAGGACTGTGTGTGTGTGTTTCATCGACTAAGTGCAGGAAGTAAAGGAGTATCTCTAATTAAGTCCAAAGCTGTTCTGAAAGTAAGTTTTTCTTTTAGTTTTTTTTCTGATATATTTTCAGGAAAGGAATCAGTTTATATTTGATTTACTCAGAAAGAGCTGAGAAGCCATATCCAACTTTTGCCCAAAGAAATAATGCCTAAAACGGAATGTCGGCAAAGAGATAGCCATTGACATGGGTGTCTGTCTTTGCTGTACTTTTCTGTGGGGTCTTTGTGGTCCCCTCTCTCCAGGCCTGGGCATGCTTTCTGTCTAAGAACTTGTGGGCAGGTTCCACCATGCCTGTGTGTGTTTCCACCTAATATCTAGCAAAGGAAAAATAGCTTTTATCCAGTATGCTTCCCACAGTATGATAAACTAGTTAATTTGTACAGTCCTCCTACTGCAAAACAACTAGATCACAAACTTTTTAGAACACAAACATGTTATTTTATAACTTCAAGGCAGGTGAATAAAACAAACTAACAAACCAGGAGCTGAAACCAAAGAGGTGAGCATTCACAGAAGGTGTAGCTCCCAACATCAGTTCTGCTAGAAATGACCATTGCAAAGTCTGAAGGCTTAGGATTCCAGATCTGTTGTGTCATACAGAGCTTCTCAGTCTGTAATGAGCATATTATCCATCTTGGGAACCTTGTTAAAAATGGATTCTGATACAGTAGGTCTGGGGAGCCCCAGGGTTCTGCATTGCTAACAAGCTCCCAGGCGACACTGATGCTTCTCATCTATTGCCACACTTGAAGTGGCAGGGTGAGGTAAATAACCTGCACGACCACACGCAAGGGCCCTGCATGCAAGCAAATGAAAACCCACACGTGTAGACCAAATGGCATTGTTCTGGTTTAGGGGTGAAGTGATGGGTTCTGGTATGATTCCGTTTTTAAGTGATAAATGCTCGTAAGTCTTGAAGTAATTACACCTCGAGATGGCTTTCTCAGTTCTGTTGGAAGTGGGCTCTTGTCTTTGCCAGGCTTTTGGGCTTCCTAACGGTCTTTATCAAATGAAGAGTTAGAGTGCCTTTCTCTAGATGGTCTGGTTTTGGACTCATTCAGGTTGATTTGAGTCATTTTTTAAAATACATAATTATAGAGGAAGTCTAAAAATACTCATCAGAATACTATGAATACTTACATATCAAAATTCATTAACAGTATTGGAGAAACACTACTTCTAATTTAATTTATGGTACATATCTCACACAATCCTACTTTTACTTTCAACATATTTATTGAGCACCTATAATGAGCCAGGTGCTGTGGTAATCATTGTTGATACAAAGATAAAAAAGCTCTCTTCTCCCACTGAATTCTGGTGGGGTCAACTCAAGGGCAGCAGTATCGAAGGTCAAAGCACATTAGGGAGAAATGTACTGAAATCCAGATATGCATTTCATATGAAAAATAACTAAACACTAAATATTCAATAGCACTGCCTCCTTGCTTAGAGATAATAAATATGATTTTCCATAGACTTGCTATGTTTTTTAAATTATTAGCATTTGATTTTGGTGTTACATGGATCTAACCAAATATTTTCCTCTTTGACTCAATTATTCCTAGAAAGCCCTGATCTGAGGGAAATGATCCTCCCAATTCAATTTTTCTATGACAGAAGTAAGGTATTGGAACATCCTAAAATAATTAAGACAGTTTGTAGATCCTTAGGGTATAAAGATTTCAGAAAACTGTCACGTTGTTCTACACAGTGGGGACATCAGAAGATTATCGTTAAGGCAGCAGAGAGCCACATTAGCAAGGGAAGGGGAAGGAAGAGTGGAGAAGCCTTCAACCAGAGCTGATAGCATGGCTCCTGAGTTGTGTCTCCAGCCAACCCTCGTCCGGACCAGCTCTGCCTCTCCAGAGTGCTGGATGAGAAAAGGGGCTTGAAACCAACCTTGGATATAGGATAACTCATTTCTAAAACTTTTTTCCTGTAAGCAAAAGATTTTAAACCCAAGATTAGGATCTGTGCTTTAAATTATTTGCTCCTTTATTTTGCCATATTTTATCATTGGAAGGGATCACCCTCGATCATCCTCCGTTATCATTTTTTAAGGACAGACACTTGGGGTATAAAATTCAGGTTTTAAGGTCTACGGAAAAATGGTTCTCAATGCTGGCTACAGATTCAAATCACCTGCAAAAAAGAATAGGAGGCACTGATGTCTAGGTTTTACCAGCACACATTCTAGTTTAATCAGTCTAGGTATAGCCGAGGCATGGGGACTTTAAAACCTGCCCCGGGGTGCCCCATGGAAAAAGCCAACACCAAGGGCTGCTGCTGTAGAATACCTGTGTCAGTCGTCTTGCCCAGTGGGCACGTTTTACATATGAAGCCCAAAGTGAAGATGTGGCTTTTTTAAATGTTTTTTTTTTTAACATGGCTTTTTAAATTTGATAGAGCTGTCTAGCTGCCAGGCCAAAGCGAAAACTGGGATCTCCTGGTTGAAGACTTTTCTCTGTGTCCTGCTGTGATTCATCATTGCAGACTTACCAGCCACCACCAAGGCGTGGACTCCCAACTCCTCCTCTGACCACTTGTTTCCTCGCTTAGGAGAAGGTTTAGATTTCTTTGCTCAGCCCAGGACAGGCATGAGATACAGAAGCTAAAACATTGTGCGATAGGGAAGAGTGGACTCACGTGAGAAAAAGGAGGCTACTCGAGGCTCAAGACACAACCAGAAATTTCAGAGGACAGTCATTCCGAGCAATGGGATTTTTAGTCAGCGAGGACCTGGCTTCACCCATGCGGCAGTCACCGACTCAGGGAGTTTCCAAATACAGCCTCTCAACCCTGATGAACATGTCGGCGTGGCAAATGTCACTAAGTTCAAAGAACTGGGTTTGAAGTTGGGCCACGTAAGCTGACCACTTTGCTTCAAAATCTCTCATACCTACTCATAAGTGGCCTCTTGGTCATGTTTAGAGAACTCCACAAAGACTTCAAGAGATTTCCAAAATGTATTTTCTCTAATTAGGAGACTCTGCTAGGCTAAGTGGATCTTGGTGTAACTCTTGTAGCCTATTTATTACTTTATGGCTTTGGCCCTAAAATCAGCTACAAAATATCAAAGGAGTTTAGAGGCATTTTCCCTTGAAAAGAGAAAAACTCGCAAGAAAACAACAATTTCTGTCCCAGATTCTCTTCTTGTGTGGTAAGAGACAGGCTCGGGTGGCAGGGAGTGTTTCTGAACTGTTGTTCCTTGAACTTTCCTTTCACAGTAAATGTATGAGTGTTGCTTTTAGAAAGCTATTCCCGACCTTATAAAGTGAAAGTTCCCAGGTGGATGGACTACTCTGGTGTTTTAATAGAGCAAGCTGAGTGAGTCGTACTCGAGAGGGGGATATTGCATACAGAATTTCCCAGGGAGTTCTTGGTACCAGGACCAATTCTCTCTTCTTTTGGGGTAATGCTACTCAAGAAGATCCTTTTAATACACCACCTTGTTGTGAGACAGGTAAATTTTATAAGGTGTATTGTAGAGGAGGACTGTTCAGCATCTAGTAAGAGCTCATAAGAGTCTCGGATTATCTGGTGGTCTCTGAAATTAAACCTCTGAAGAGATTATGTATGGAGACTCAACATTCCCCCCTGCCCCTTTCTCCTCAGACCATATCCAGGGCTCTGTGAGAGGCCTGGCTGGCGGCAGGGAGTTATTCCCTTGGAGATGGCAGATTTTAACTCAGTGGCTCCCTGGATTACAGTCTGTTCTAGTCGTTGTAACTATCCCTTGAAACACAGGAAAGATGTCTTCATCATACTTTTTTAGCATTTCCCTATAAAATAGTAAAGTTATATGGAGGTGTTTAACAAATGTGGGAAATATTTCTTAATAAAAAAATCATTTGTTTCTTGATTTTGAAAGTCTAGATCAAAGAGTAGCAACCTTGTTCTGGAAAGGGCCAGAGAGCAAATATTTCTGGCTTTGGGGGGCAGCTACTCCACTCTGCCACCCGAGTGTGACAGCAGCCACAGACAATACATAAAAATGTGTGTGGCTGCATTCCAACAAAACTTTATGCACACAAACAGTCAGCCAGCAGGATTTGACTGAGTGGTTACAGTCTGTGAACCTCTGGTCTAGATAAAGGTGTTCAGTGAGAACGGCATTTGTGTGATGAAATATATAGTCCATTTCTCCCGGTTCCTGGTAAGGGTTAATGGGCAGACATGGGATAAAAATAAGAAGTGTCTGGATAAAAATATTTGGGGGTTTGAAAGTTCATATCCAATCATAATAGAAAACAAAGATCTTGGTTTTTTTTTTCAATCAGTGTTTTGAATCCAAACACTGCTCCTGTTATAAAACAATGTCCCGTCTATTTGTCATCCTACCCTAAGTTTCTGATTTCTAGTTGGTAGAAACTTATTTTTTTCTTAGCTTTAAGCACTTCAGTAAGAGATACCATGTAAATCCAAAGTGAAATCCAGGTGATCATGATAAGGCGGTTTGGGACTAGAGGAAGATACAGATGGACCTGTAGATGGAGAAAACAGAGGTCAGGTTTTCAAATAGTAATGAAATAGTGTTCATTTTGTGATTTTAACATAGGACGGATGCCCCTGGTCTGAAAGCTAAC